CTTGGTCTCGAAATTGCTCGTTCCGACAAAAGAATCTTTGTTTGTCAGAGAAATATACTTTGAGTTTGTTGGAGGATGCTGGTCTATTAGCCTGTAAACCATCTTCTATTCCAATGGACCCTGCTGCAAAATTGTGTTTAGACTCTGCAGGACCTCTTCTCGATGATCCGGCTGCATATAGAAGACTTGTAGGTCGCATGATGTACTTGACAATAACTCACACCTTTGCTGTGAACAAGCTACGTTAATTCACATCTGGACTTAAGAACTCTCATCTCCAAGCTGCTATAAAGGTTTTGGTACTTAAAAAGCAGTGTTGGTTTGGGTATATTCTATCCAAATGAGTCAAATTTAGTTTTTACAAGGATTTACTGATGCTGCACCTCATGCCTTGATTCCAGACATTCCACCACAGGTTATTGTATGTTCCTTGGAACAGCTCTGATCTCTTGGAAATCGAAGAAACAATAGACAGTTTCACATTTTTCTGCAGAATCAAAGTACAGAGCCATGGAGTTTGGGTCTTGAGAGGTTATTTGGCTTTGTAATCTTTCAGCTGAGTTGCAGTCTAAGAAGACGGGTCCTATTGCCTTCTTTTGTGATTCCACTGCAGCTATACACATTGCCACTAACCTGGTGTTTCATGAACGTACGAAACACATCGAGTTGGACTGTTATCAAGTGCGAGAACGTGGTTCGTGGCTTCATCAAACTGCTTCATGTTCGTAGAATCAATCAACTTCCTGATATTTTTACAAAGGCTTTGTTTTCTCCTCCGTTATATACCTTGGTGGGTAAGATGGCTTTAAAGTCTATATACTTGCCATCTTGAGGGGGTATATTAGAGTAAAAGAAATGTTTGATTCAATATGGTTTGGTTTAATGTGGTTTAATCATCGGTATGATTTGTTATGTAAACCGATAACTACTATATAAAACAAACTCTGTATTTTTTTTTCACTTATCCAAAATAAAAAAGTTTGTTACAACGTTCATCTTTTTCATTGATTCACAAACATCTTTTTCGTTGATTCACAAACTCTTAGTAGTATTTTCATCAGTTACTTCTTTTTTTTTATAACGAAAGGCTGATCTATTACTCAAGCTTGAGGTGGTCTGGGAATCCAGACCGGAATAGAACAACCAACATACATGAGATCACGATAGAATGATCGGACACAACATTATGGGACCTAGGTACATAATTGATCTTAAAGTCTGGGAAACAAATCCTCAACGTCAAGATCTTTTCCAGTTCCGTCGAAAAGCTTGGCCATCCATGGGGATTCATGAGCATCGCTATCAATTCCTTGCAATCCGTCCCAAAGCTCTGACATGGTGAATGTTGAAGCATATTCTCCATTGCCCACCGCAGTGCTTCCAGCTCAGAATGCAAAGGCGACTCCACCCTACTAACATTACGCAAACCCATCAACTGAATATTTCTCATGCTATCCTTCCAATCCCATCCACTACCGGAGAATTGATCTATAGAGGTCCAAGAACCGTCTATCATGCAAATATCTCGTAGACTTATGACCTGACGTTCAGCATCTCCGCTTTCTTGTGAAGTCACAATATCCTGCTCATTGGCTTGGAACCAGGCAAGACACTCACTCTCCGCATACCGGGCCAGTTCTAGAGGGTCTCTATCGATTCCTCTGAACAACTTATCGTTCCGAGCCTTCCAAATGTACCATATTAGCCAGGGATAAGGGTCCCTATCTAATTCTGGCCCACTTATGGCCTTATTCCTCCATAATAGATAATCCATATTCGCATATGTGCTCTCCAAGGGGAATAAAGTTGAGCTGGTGGGTATAGATGCTAAGGCCCACACCTGTAATGCCGGTGGACAGAAGTCATATTCGGATGTGCAATTGTTTCATCCGGTTCTCCGCATCGTGGGCAGACGTCATCACATCTCATGTGTCTATGATTCAGCGCACTCGTAACAGCCACATGTCCTGTTATAATCTGCCACATAAGATGGCACATCTTCGGAGGTGCTTTAACCTTCCAGACATGTGCTTGGAGTCTTGTAAGGCTATGTTCTCCCACTATATTATCCTCTTCCTTCATTAATATATTTCGAGCAACCCAATAGCCGGACTTAACTGTGTACTGCCCACTCCTTGTGTAACTCCAGCAGTGGTGTCTCTGCGATGTGGTGAGCTAATAGCCATACTTCTTATGAGAGGTATGTCAGCAGCGTCAACATAATCTGCCAGCCGATCCAGATCCCAAGACTTTGTTTCTTTATTGATGAGGTAGCTTTCTCTCATGTTCGGATGTAAGACCGGAGCAGATGCATCGCTAGCCTCGCTGGGATTGTGGGAATCCAAGGGTCCTCCCATACTTTCACTTCATAGCCTGAATGTATTTTCTGTCTAACCCCCAGCAGCAATAATTCTCGTGCATCCGAAACTTGTTCGATAGTACCGACTTCTCATAACTCGAGCTACCAAGGAATCTGGGTTTTGAGCCAATCTCCACAACTGATTAGCTAGTAATGCCAGATTAAACTCATGGATCATCTTAAAGCCAATTCCCCCTTCCTCTTTAGATAAACATAACTTATCCCATGTTGACCAGTGTAAGCCTCTCTTTGGTGGGTTTGAGCTCCACCAAAACTGTACAATGGCACTAGCCAAGGCATCACATATCTCCAATGGGAGCAAAAGCAAGACATAACATAGGTTGGGAGAGCTAGCAGGATTGACTTTATCATAACTTCCTTTCCACCTTTAGATAACCACCTGCATGACCATCCATTCACTCTATTCCGAAGCTTGTCTTTTAAGAAAGCAAACATCTTACATTTCGAGCCACTGATATCTTCTGGTATCCCTAGGTAAGTTCCCATTCCTGCTTCACTTTGGATCCCAAGTGTATCTTTGATCTCCTGCCTGGCCTCTTGATCGATCCTCTTACCTAAGAGTAGAGAAGACTTGTCAAAATTAATGCATTGTCCAGAGGCTTGTCCATATTTCCTAACCACTTTCATTACTTCTTCACATTCACGGGGCTCCGCCTTACAAAAGAAAATTCTATCATCAGCAAAGAGTAGGTGGGATACTGACGGACACGCACGCGTGATGCGCATCCCCGTTATCTTTCCCTTGTTCTCTGCGTGATTAAGAAGGCTAACGAGCGATCAGTACTTATGAACGGATATAGAAATCAATATATTTTATTGATCATCTAGATTTTACTGAAAATCTATCTTATTAAAACAGAAACATTAGGTTGGACCTAACATTTATTTTGTAAGTTTTTAAATTAAATACATCTTTCTACTTTATAGTTAAACATACATTAAATCACTAATATTCTTTTCTTTATATACTACTATCCATGTTTTCAAAGAATATATTTATTTATTTATATTACTATCTATGTTTCTAAGTAATATACTTATTTCTTTTTACTACTATCCATATTTCTAAACAACACTATTATTAATCTTATGTCCTAAAAATACAAATTAGATCTCATCCTTTTTAATATTTTCACAATTTCCTTTGAAATTATGTACATAAATTAAAAAAAAATAACATATAAAACAATGAAATAAACTTATTTTTACATGTTTAAATATTAAATATCAGTTACTCGTTTAGTCTCGGGTTTTAGTAATTTTTTAAATATGGATATTTTGAAAAATCAAAATTGAATTATCGGATCACCGGTTTAACTACGGCCCGGATTGAATTTAAAAATACTGATTTAAATGAAAAATATTTTAAATACATAAATTCTTTCAAATTACCAAAATATTTGTTAAGTTATTTATTATTTTTTTCATCATAAAATATACGTGCTAGCAAAATTAAGACTAAAGTTAACTTTGAATTTGACATAACCTATAAAATAAAGGTTAAGGCCAAAAATTCTAGAAATTTGTATATTATTAACATTAGAAGTAATTAAACTCTCAATTTATTTTTTTAATGCAAATAGTTGATTTTGAAATTGATTTTGCACTTTGAACAAATGTACTAAATTAGTGTTTTCATTGCACGATTACATCTACATAATACACTGTTTGACGCTATTAATACAAAAGACCGTTTTGATATTGTTCTTTAAACATAAAATCGAACTGAACAAACTCAAAAGTATATAAAACTAAATTATATAGAATACATCCGAAAAAATAAAATTTGTGCATCTGTACGGATCATGATCTAGTGAAATGGTTAATTCTACATACGTCCAAAAGAGAAAAATATAGCTGGGCGGAAAATGAATACATCCCCAAAACAAAACTAGTGGAAAAACAAGTTTTCATGGAACATTGTAATCATAAACACGTAATACTTCTCTTATTCCTCAAATGATGATATACGGTGGGAATATTAGAGTTCAAATTTGGTTTCTGAGATTTAGATAAGTAGTAAAGAGGTTTATTGGGTTTCAGGGTTACAAGATTCAATTAATTGATTGGAACAATATTTGTTAAGTTTTAGAAAATGAGGTATTAATTCCAGAAAATGTGTATGGGTTAAGTGTGTAAAGGGGAAAACGTGTTCAACTATCAAATTAGATCTGAGATTTCATTAGCAAAAATTTAGTCAATAGGCCACTTTAGTTCCTATAGTATGTCTGACGAATCATGATAAAGGTTTCCTTAATAATGTAGTTTTTGGTCGAAAATGTTGAATATTATTGCCTAATACATCTAATTTTACATTACGAAACAGAATAAGATAATTTAGGATAAAATCATTGTAGTGGGTTCCTACTCCACAGATGTATAAATTAGTGTTGGTTGGCTAACAAATTCGTTCATAATTGAATTAAAATATGATTACAATAAAAACAATAAATTTTATATAATAAGAGTTCCGAGTTCGTTAGCAACGACAATCATAGCTGAAAACGCGTTCAAATCATATTTCAAATCTAATCATGACAATAACATTAAATTAATCTGTTCCTTTTCTCAACTAAGAAATCATATATATATATAACCATAAAATTAGAATTTCCCCTTAGGATAATTAAACATAACCTTATAATTACTTTTTCAACGATTTCCTTTTAACACATTTTAACATAAAATATGAATACAATCGTTCACCGGCTCTGTTTGAATACGAGAGAGTCATAGGATAATGTATTTGTTAACAAAACAAAACCTTATAATATTCTTACTAGACTTTATGTGGTAATGATTGAGAGATCTTGTTTTAAGATCGTTTACATTTACTCATGTCGTATGAAACTGTAGTCACCATAGTTAATCTCTCTACTTATCATTATCAACACTGAACGATGTGAAAGGTACACAAAGGTGGGACTGGCAAACAATGAAGTGGTAATAAGTATTTTGAGATCATTATCATCATCTGGGCATGTTACCGAGCAATGTATTTGTAGATGGTGAGCTCTGTGCACTTAACCAAGGATCTTGAACCGAAACTGGTGAGTTATCGTTAATCTCTTCGACAGAAGCGAGGATATCAGGTTGCTTGGGAGGGACAACAAGTCTTCTGCTTCCTGCTAATGTTTTTTTAACTGATGCTGATCTTTCGCTTCCTAGATCAGATGACCTCAGAGAACCGGTGGGTGAATCCAAGCTCATGTTTGGGATCCAACCACTGAGCCGTATCTGTTCAAGCTCGTCAGCTACTTCAGTCATCGTAGGTCTCATGTCACTGTGGAAGGCTAAGCATCGGAACGCGAGCTCAGCCACGGAGTGTATAGACGAGAGAGTCCATGCGTCAAGGTTCAGGTCAAGAACCGGGTCTATAATCTCGTCGATGCAGCCTGACCCGATTTTGTCAACAGCTAGTGCTGCTAAGTTGATTTCAGTATGTGGTCGAGTGAAATCAACAACTTTCAGTCCTGTTATAATCTCAGCAAGAACGACTCCGAAGCTGTAGACATCGCTTTTATCAGAGAGATGAAAGCACTGATGGTACTGCGGGTCTAGATAGCCAGGGGTGCCTTGAGGAGCCGTTGAGATGTGGGAGGTTTCAGTCATTCCGAGCCTAGAGAGTCCGAAGTCCGCAACTTTGGTGTTGAAGTCGTAATCGAGAAGGATGTTGCTGGATTTGATGTCACGGTGATAGATAGGTGGGTTCATTGTAGAGTGGAGATACGCGACAGCTTTAGCTGTTTGAGTGGCAACAGTAAGACGTACAGTCCATGGAAGACCGTCTCCTATCTCTCTTTGTAGATGTTCTGATAAAGTTCCATTTGGCATGAACTCGTAAACCAGAACCGGGTCGCCCTGGTCTATACAACAACCCAAGAGACGGACAAGATTTGGGTGACTCACAGAGGAAAGAAGCTTGATCTCGTTCATGACTTGCTCAACACTTTCTGAGTCTCTGTGTCTGAGTCTTTTGATAGCAACCCATTCATCGTTTTGGAGCTTCCCCTTATAGACAGTACCGTATGCGCCAGTTCCTAGCCTCTGCTTTTCAGAGAAACCATTTGTTGCTTTCTCGACGTCCTTGTAAGGGAAGAAAGCGACACTTGTGTTGCCTGTAGCTTCAGTCAAAAGACGCTTTGCGCTTAAATGGCTTCTTAGAGAAGCAGACCTTCTCTTCTTGCAAACTAACAAAAGAGCCAACACAGATAGCAGAAATGCTCCACCAACAGTTCCTATGTAGCAAACAAATTAACAGAGCCAGAGATTCATCAAAATGAACAAAAGTTAGAGAAGCTAAAAAAACACACTAAAGCAGGAGTTACCTCCTACAACAATAGCAAGATTAGATCTACAATGCCCCGAGGCGAGCCTTGAACCATGACAGTTGGGTAATGCTGCAAAGAGTAAAGTGGAAACTTGAAAGAAGTAATAATATGTATATCAACATCATACAAAACGACATCTTTAACAAGTTATCCTATCTCCTAAAACAATTTACCATTCATAAGGATTAGTTTTTCTTTTCCATTCATTCTCATTTCTTTTTAGTGTAGAGAAATATAGAACAAATTTGTTCTTTATTAAATTTGATAAGGAATAATCACTCGTCATTCCCATAATTTTATTCCCATCTGTTTTTGTTCCTGCCATGGTTACCAGTAAGACCCAAATTGACTAACCTTTCCGGCAAGGAGATTCAATGAACCCGTCACCGCGATAACCTTCGATACATGAGCACCGGTGTCCTGTATTTCCATCAGGAGTTTGAACTGGATCACATATGGCATTAGGCCCACAAGTAGAGTTTCCTGTTCCACACGTCCCCTTCATCCACCACCCTAACCTAACTCGTTCAAACTCTAATGCTATTCCCGCATTCACACCAACAGACTCGAAAGCAATCGAGGAGAAGAGCTTCTTGCACGAGCTCCTCCTCAAATCTATCATACTAAAAAACTTGGCTAAACTCTTGGAACTGGAGTTCGTATCAGTAGAGAAACAGCTAACATTATCCTTCCCCAGGGGATCACAGCTTTGCAGATTCAGCTGAGTCTCCAGAAACTTCTGCTTGATCGAACATCCATCCGTCGCGTTAGTGCATTCCTCCATCAGGAAACTGTTCTCTGACGTCGGCGCGTAATGCTCGCCGAAGAGCGGGCTCATAGCTTCAATACTACGGTTACAATCGTGTGGAACGCGGACGAATATACTCTCTTCCGTAACGTTTTGGACCGTGAAGCCTCCGATCTGCCCTCCCTTCGTGGCGGAGCAAGTGAATCGGATCGGGCAAGCGGGTGAGAACCCGAAGGGGTAAGGTAGAATCATTCCGCCGCATGTTCCGTTACAATGTTTGGTGGAATTGGAAGAAGAAACGATACGAACGGATACTCCCATGACGAGTAGGATCAAAATCAAATTCAAGTTATGAGAAATAGCCATCGTCAACTTCGTGAATTGATCTAACGATACCTGCAACCATATAAGAATCATGTGATGAAGCTAAAACCCTAAGACCTAGAAACAAACAAGTAGTTGAGGTATTAAAGGTGACCTCTCAGCTCCTCAACTGTATACATACGAAATAAATACACACAAAGAGACTCATAAAGAGAGAGAAATACTGATTCCTCCGATACCATAGAGTTGAAACTAGGATTTTCTGTTATCTATATTGATCGAAATACCTCTCTGCGAGTTTTGTTCTTCCTTTACGAGCTTCACTTCATTTTCTTCTTAGCGATTTGAGAATCTTTTACTTAGAATTTCAAAACGTCTGCTCTTCGGTGAAGATTTAAGTTCCTGTTGATCGGAGAATCGGAATATCCGTTTTCTTTTTTGAGTTTTCCGGTGATCTCCTTCCTAAAACGATGAGCGAAATTGAATTTTGATTAGAGTCGGAAGGGGGAGAGATACGTGATGAGTGGGTGTCTATTATTCAACAAAGACGGGTGAGTCCTTAAGAAAAGTGTGGGAACGGTTGTGAAGTGACGGATCTACCCTTTAATGGTCAAGGTCAACCAGCAACTTGTTAATCTTTGACTTGGCATTGAGATTATTTTTATTTAATTGATCCGTGTGTGGGTGGACAACAGCATTACATTTTTTTCAGAGTTGTTTTTTTTTTGGTATAAAAATAACTTCTCATTGAATTTTGGATAATTTTATTTTATCTTTTAATACATTTTAGAGCGCAAAATTAGCCTTTGACAAAAGACCATAATTAGAAAACAAAATGGTTACGTTGCGTCTGTAAGTTTAGTAGCTGTTGAACCATTCCAACCGTCGTTTGTGTTTGTCAAACAAATCCTAACAATCTGCTTCTTTTTTTTTTTTTTTGAAAAAGATATGTCTTTTAATTTAATTAATGGGAAAATTCCTTAAATACACATACTAAATTTCTTTTGCTGAAAAAATACACCAACTTTTTAGGATTCCCAAAAAACACACATTAATTTTGATTGTCCATAAAATATATGAACTTTTGAATTTTGGAGGTTTCACACCTCAATTTTAACGATGTTAACTCTAACTAACAGAACATTAAAATGCCATTAGACGTCGTTAACTCTGATTCAAAAGTTCATATATTTTATGGACAATCAAAATTAGTTTGTGTATTTTTCGGGAAACCTAAAAAGTTCGTGTATTTTTTCAGCAAAGAAAATTTAGTATGTCTATTTTTAAGGAATTTTTAAGAATATACCAAAGTTCTGAATGGTAACTGCGGATTGAGCGGTGCGGGACAAGCGGTTCAACTGCGGTGCGGTTCTAACAGTTATAAAAACATATAGATATATGGTATATGTAAAGATTTTTGTTACATTTAATTGCGGGGCGGTTCGTAACATTCGGAGCCTAAGGTGAAAGACTTTGTTTTTTTGACTGAAAATGTAATTTTTGAATATATTTATTTGGGTTCATGTTGAGGCCGGTTCTTCTAGGGTCGGTTCGGATCTATAATTAAAATATTTGTAAAATATGGGTAATTTTTGGATATGTATAATGTGACAGAGAATTTGTTTTTTTGTTCGGGTCTTTGGGTCGGGTTAGGCCGGTTCTTCTCGGATCCGGGTCTTTCGGGTCTAAGATATTTGGACCCAATAAGTACTTATAATTTTTTGGTTCTGGTTGGTTCTTCTTAGGCATGGGTCGATTCAGATCTATAATTAAACAATCTGTAAAATCTTTTTAATTTTTGGATCTGTATCAGGTCAAGATATTTAGCCTCTGAATAGGATACGAAGTATCCAAACTCCATCAAATTTAGTCGAAATCTATCATATATATCTAAAAATTCACAAAATAACTTTAAATAAACTATTAATGATTAAAAATAACAACTTTAAAACTCTAAATTTTACGCTGAAAGTTTCATATTAATTAAAAAGGTTCCTGTTACAAAAACAAAACTAAAAAATATTGCAAAAATAATAACAAAGATTGTTAACAGAAATATATATTTCAACTAAATTATAAAATAAACCTGATTATAATATATCTTGAATAAAAGAAATATGATGTTGCAAAAAAGGGAAAATTCCTTAAAAATACATAGACTAAATTTCTTTTGTTGGAAAAATACACGAACTTTTTAGGCTTCCCGAAAAATACACAAACTAAATTTTGTTGTCCATAAAATACATAAACTTTGAATTAGAATTAACGTCATCTAACGGCGTCTTACTGTTATTTTAATTAGAGTTAATGTCGTTACAATGGAGGTGTAAAACCTTCAAAATTCAAAAGTTGATGTATTTTATGGACAACCAAAATTAGTCTGTGTATATTTCGGGAAGCCTAAAAAGTTGGTATATTTTTTCAGCAAAAGAAGTTTAGTCTGTGTATTTCTAAGGAATTTTCCCTTAATTAATCTGAGATATCCATAAATAAACATCTCTCCAGACTTGTTCAAAAAAGAAAAAACATCTTTCCCAACATACATATATACGAAAAACAGAAAAAAGTTTTTTTTTTAATTAATCTAAGATATCCATAGATAAACATCTCTTTAGACTTGTTCCAAAAAAAAACATCTTTCGAGGCATACATATATATACGAAAAACAGAAGTCTTTATCCATGTAAGATAAAATTATATGATCTAGTTTCGTGAAACAGGTGGATCGAATTTAAAACGTGTTGAATCCTAAACATGTCTTTTACCATTCGAACACATAGTCCCCTCATTTTTTTTCAACATTTAAACCACTCAACCACAAGGTCCCAAACCAGATCTCGTACCACTGGACCAAACCTGTCCTTTAACCACCAGGTTTCTGATTGACGCACGAGTTCTATGGTTCTTTCTAAAGGGATGGTTATTCCCTTGGTTTTGTTTATCGCCATTTGGGTCTCTGTCTTCTCCACCGAGGGAGGATCTATACGTTAGCTCAGACTCCTGAAGCAACGATGGTCTCGAGCAGTGACAGCGTTTTAGGTTTTAGATTCGGGTCTGAGATCGAATCCAATGTTTTGTGGCCATAGAGGGCCTCAGAGGTGTATTCTCTTTGAAGGAGACGTGCAACCGACTGGGTTTGGACTCTCCAGTTTTGGTACAGTTCCGGAAACCGGATCTGGGAGTCACTGGTGTCCATCTGAGGGGAAGCTTGCTTACAGCCTGCTTACCCATGACATTTTCTTTTCTTTTCTTTTTTTTTGGCTTAGATTTGCTTGTACACTTTTTTCGAAATTCTTTCTAACGTAGTACAAGATGGTTTTTCTGATACACCGAAAAGTTTACTGTTCCGATTTCCCTATTTTTAGAGTTTGATATATGAATTATAATTAAATAATAATAAATAATAATTGGTAACCAGAGCTATAGTCTGATAGTTTGATAAAAATCTCTGAACACTTTGTTAAGTGTAGAAGTTATTTGTTGGTGTGTCTAATCTTTGAGAGAAATTGTTTCAAATACCATAAGTTGACTACCATTTTTCAAAAATACATTCAATCAAAAATATCTTAATATTTGAGTTTATTGTTTAGTGATTAGAGCCATTTGCACAGAAATGATCAACTGGTATGCTATTTGCAAAAATGGAAACATAGACAAAAAGTAGAGAGAGAGAAAGCTTGAAATGTCTCTTTAGTCCTTTTTCATTTTTTTTTCATGTATTTTATATATATACAGCAAAGTATTATATATGTATATATACGTAATGTCTTCACTTCCAAATTTGAGTTTGTTCATGTGCCATAACCTTTCTTCCGATTATCAATACTCTTCTAACAAGTGTGTCTTCTTGCATGTTTTTGTTTCATCGTTGTGACCACATCTCTGTGATACAAGAACCCAGATGTGTCCGCGTCTTCTCTTCTTGTTGTTGTGTCTTCGTTTTCTCCTCTCACCGCCGTTACATCTCTGTCATTTGATTGTGGGTGCACGGCGTGAGGCTTAGGCCGAGAGCATATTGAGCAGAATGGTCTTCAATAATCGATCAGTTAGTCCATCTTGAGCTGGATTTAGTGCTGCAGTTTGAGCATGATGAACCGAGTGATTGGGTATTCTCAATTCGAGCATGCAAGCTCACGGCAATTGCAACTGATGATCCATCTTTTTTTGAAATTGTTATATTCTAATTTACCCAGATACTTTACATTTTAGCTGATATTTAATTTATATTTACCGGCTATTTTGATCAATTTATAGTGGTTATTTTGTACCAATTCAGATAAACAAAAAATTAACTCTCTAATAAATCACAAAACATATGGTTAGATTTTCATGTCCGGCTAAACATAAAATTAACTCATTAACAAATCACAATACAAATGATTAAAATTGTTGTTTAGCCGGTTAAGATTTTACTTAACTTTTTTTTGTTATGGTTAGCCGGTGATATATACTAATTATCTCAACATTGTTATGGTTAGCCGGTAGTATATACTAATTAATGATGTAAATGTAAAATATCCGGTTAAGATTTTATTTGACTTTTTGTGTTATACTTAGCCGGTAATATACACTAATTATCTCAATATAACTTGAATTGTAACACTGAAAACATCTAAGTCTCTGAGGATCATTCGGAGAAATTTTAAGGGATTTGAAATGTAGAATCTGAAAGTTTGGAACCGATTCGTGAAGCTATTTGTACACTTGGAAATATTGTTGTTTAGCCGGATAAACATATCTATATCTCTATTTTTTATAGGCAATAATCATCAAATGGGATCTACTCCCTCAGCTTATGTGAGCTTGCATCGATCAAACCGAGAAGACCCAACCACTAGACTCATCATGCTCGAACTGCAGCACTCGATCCAGCCCCAAGATGGACAAATTGATAGCTTACTGAAGACCGTTCTACTTGATTCAGTCTTCTCGGCCTAAGCCCCACCCCGTGTGCCGACAACCGAACGAGGGAGATGTGACGGCGGCGAGAAGAGAAGACGTAGACACTGCAGTGAGAAGAGAAGAGGCGGACATGGCAATACTCTAGTGCGGCGGAGATGTGCTCGCAACGGTGGGACGGAGGCATGTGAGAAAATTACTGATCAAGAAAGCAAATGTGAAATTAAAGAAGATAAAGATGGTTACGACGGAGAAATCAGATAGATTAAGAGAGATGAGAGATGGTAGTGGTTGCGACGGAGAAAACAAAAAGAATGAGAGAGAGATGAAATGGTTGGTTTCAAAAAGAAAAATGTATTGATCGAGGTGTAGAGGTTTGAATAGTATAAGCTGTGTTGTAGGAATTTTAGGGGTAAGATAGCCATTAAAAAAAAACACATCAGCAATAAAGGCAGTTTTTCCATGCGTGCAAATATGCACTTATGTTTGTATATGGACTGCAATTTCTCTAGTGATTATTGTATTATCTTTATTATAGCGTTTAAAGATAAAATTACTTTAATCCACTTATATTTCTTTTATCTATAATATAAATTGCTATATTTCCTAAATAACATTCTGTTCGTTTTAACTT